TTAACAGTGCAAAAATGGTGGGTGGGAAGCTTTACAAAAAAGAAGCTTTCAAAATGTTATGAAATATTCTGTACTCTGTAATCCACCTTGAGTCCGATTGAGAAAGGTGGGCTATAAATAAGCGAACAAAATATATAATTTAATACAAGAGTAGTGCCTGTTTTTGGAACAGAAGGCAGACAAAGCTGAAACATGGGAACCTGGCACAGATGTTACTTAGAGTAAGTCAGTGACAAAAGCAAGTTGTCCACACTGTCTTTATGATTGTTTTCCCATTTTCCTGGTAATGAACTTAGATCCTGAAAATATTGACCAGTATAATTAAACACATTGAGTATAAGAAAACGGAATAGTCTCTCCTAATTCCCTTCCTCACTGCAATTCTCCTTCATCCCACATGTGTGTGTTTTTTGGCCCTACAGGTTTCTGAGGCCTGACACAGCTTTTTCAGGTGTCTAAAGAGGCTGGGGGTGGGGAGGTGGGACAGAGACCATCAGGTTCTCTTACTGGAAAGGCGACAATTAACACCCATGTGTTGTGTCTTGCTGAAATGTGTGCACATTCCGCCATGTGCTAAATGTTGTTAACCTGCTACTTTTCCAGGAGCCCTGTGCCATTTGGAACTCAAGCGTTTTTCTGAAGCCATGACATGGTGTGAGGAGGGGCTGAGAATCAATCCAAAAGAAAAGAAACTCCTAGAAACAAGAGCTAAAGCTGACCAACTAAAGGTTAGAAGGGGGTGAACCCCACTGTAGGTACTGTGTATATTATAGATTATTTGCACCCTGTCTCTCAGCAGTACTTTTAAGGCCAGGAGTGGGGTAGAGGTGGAGTCATTGACTTTTCACAGTAATAATGTAGCTTTGCCTGTCTTGCAGCGTACTGAAGAGAGAGATTTGAGAAAAGATAGATTACAGGAGAAGAAGGAAAAGGCTCAGAAAGATGCTGTATTCAAAGCTATCAAGGTAGCTTTATTCTATTTAAAAATACCATTTGAAATCAATGCCCCTTTAGTGCACACAGATGTATTTTATGTCTTTGTCTAAAGTGTGTCTATGTGTGTCCCCCCCCCCTTCATTCTTCTGATGTAGAATCACAACATCAAATTGTCACCAGTATCTTCTGAGGATGAAAATGTAATATCAGCAAGTCTGGCTGAGATGTCTTTAGATGGATTTAGCTCACAGAGTGCAACTGGTTCCAAGATCTGTCTAGATGAAAATGGCAGCCTTTCCTGGCCAGTGTTGTTGTTGTATCCTGAGCATGGGCAAAGTGATTTAATCTCTGCTTTTCATGAAGAATCCAGGTTTGTTTTTTTGTTTTTTTTAAAGGTGATCCCATGCCCAGACATCACCTTACAACATGTTTCCCCTTCTCAGAACTGCTTGTGGATGCTGAGGCTGTGATGGGAAATGGACTGCCTCTGTGTGGCTCGAAAGAGTGACCCCCATTTGCTGAGAGGGATAGCTCACCCTTAGCCTGAAGGAATAGCCCAGTGCATCACATTATCTTGGCAGAGCACTGTATAATTGTTATGTTTAATTGAATTATTTTATAATTTTAACTGTATTTTTAATTGCTTAAATGTTTTATTGTTTTTATAGTATGCTGCGTTGTGGACACTTGATCAGGTGGAAAGGCAGCATAAAAATGTTTTAAATAAATTTTCTATCCTGGTATCCCTTATAGCGGTAGTGCCACAACTGAGTCAGCACTGGGGGGTGAAACTAGGGATTTTGTTCCTCTGGTGTGGAATTCTGCCCTCTAGTGTAACATCTGGCCAGGTGTAAATAATGTATCCATGGAGAATTGGACTTTGTGGTGCATAGGCCAGTGTGAAGTTTAGGGTTTTGCTAGTGATTCTACAAGATGGCACAGGTTGATGAGTGGGAATAGTATTGCAGTTCAGCAGTTTAGTCATGCCAGCCACATGACCACGGAAACGTGTTCGGACAGCGCTGGCTCTTCGGCTTTGAAACGGAGATGAGCACCGCAACCCTAGAGTCGGATTCGACTGGCTTTCGAGCAAGGGAACCTTTACCTTTTACCTTGAATTGCGTAAATGTTTTATTGTTTTCATAGTATGATGCCTTGTGGACACTTGATCAGGGGGAAAGGCAGCATTAGATGTTTTAAATAAATATTTCTGTCCTGGTATCCCTTATAGCGGTAGTGCCACCACTGAGTCAGCACTGGGGGGGGGGGGGAAGCTGGAGATTTTGTTCCTCTGGTGTGGAATTCTGCCCCCTAGTGTAACATCTGGCCAGGTGTAAATAATGGCTCCATGGAGAATTGGACTTCATGGTGCATAGGCCAGTGTGAAGCTTAGGGTTTTGCTAGTGATTCTGCAGGATGGCACAGGTCAGTGAGTGGGAATAGTATTGCACTTCACCAGGGGACCAGGAAATATGATTGTGGGATGTGTATGAGAGGTGGGCCAGGAGATGTTAATTAAGACCTAAGTATGATCTGAGAATTTTGTCCTCAGTAGTTGAAGAGTGTTCTAGAAGTTCAATATGTGTTTATATGGTGTGATTCTCGTCCACAGTAGTGGCTGTGGGGACAGTGCAGTAGGAAAGCTGCTATTTTAGATTAATCTCAAGGATAATAGTTTTACAATCTTACCCTGAATATATCTATTAAAGAATTCCAGAATATTAATACCATGTAATTTTTATAGTTAGGTTGATTTGAATATTTACAGTGGAATGTCATGAATTTTGTGCTAATAGTTGATAACTATTAACATAATACTAATGGTGGGTTAGGATATGACGATAGGAGAGTAACGTGATGTGTCATCTCTTTCAGATTTATTGACCATTTAACGGTCATGTTTGAAGAGCTACCTCCCTGGGATACAGAAAGAAAATATTATCCTAGTGAATTAGAGGTAGGAAACGGCACCTGTTTGAAACTACCATTTATCTTTCTGGTGTTTGAAAAGAAATGGTTTAGAAAGTACCCTTAGTCTATTATAAAAAGGACACTTTCAGTTTAGTTTATCATGGAGGTTGGAGTTCTTTTGCTTATTAGAAATGTGAGTTTAACTTCAGCCTTGTCTTGTACACCCCTTTTTCTGCTTACCTTCTCCTTTGCTTAGGTACTAGATCAAGCCTTTTCCAGGAAATGCTGTGTCCTAAATTCTGTGTTTATACTATGCCAGGCACATTAATGGCACTTGATTTTACGAACTTTATGATAAGGCTGCAAGGACAGTGTCATGGCATGAGTAACTGCCACATTTAGTCAAGTGCTAAGATCTTTTAGGAAACTGTCACTTTGTTATCACTGTATTTCCATTATCAAAAATATCAGCTTTGGAAGGAGCTGTGCTGGAGAGCTTTCCAGGAAGGCTTCAAACGTTTGGCTGTGATACAGCTTTAATAATAGCACTTGGTAGAGCTCCTTGTAGAATTGGTTTGGGTCTTTTAAAAATAGTTTCAGGGCTTTGGTTGTCATTCAGTGAAATAGGAAGAAGCAAGAATTGTCTGTTGGAAACATTTCGTATTAGAACATTACCTGTTAGTACATAAGAGGCATACCTCAGAGAAAGGAGTTCACCACCTGTGCTCTAGTGAATGGTGGTTTGGACGGCATTGCTTTTCCCATGGTTGATGGATTGAAGCGTGCTTTATCAGGAAATAATGCTTTTTTCAGCTCTGTATGTATCTCAGAAGTTACTCCCCACAGTCTTAAGTCAGCTGACCTGGCCACAGTGATCCATGCCACAGTACCTTGAAGATCCAACTACTGTGATGTGCTATACATGGAGCCTAGTTTGAAAACTTCCATTGGTTCAGCATGCAGCAGTCCATTTAATAACAGGCTAGCTGCTGAGATCCTGTGTTCCCAGAAATGGTTACACATTTTGGGATTGGTTACAAATATATTTCAGGCATCAGCTAGGGGTGCTGGATCTAACGTTTCAAGCCTTTCACATCCTAGGGCCAACATACCTGAAGAATCATCTCCCCCTATATGAATCCATACCACAACTCTGTGCTTGGCTACAGCTTGTGTGAGAACCTTTGAGAAATGGAATAGCCTCTTAGAGTAATCAAAGAAGGCTCCTAGTCTGCTTCTAGACAGCCTGTAAAACTGAACTAAGTGAGATTTTAGGGCCTCCTGAGAGAGATGTGTGTTTGGCATCTGTGAAGGCAAATATGGTTCTTGGGGACTGTTATAGTGATTAAGATTTTATGTTGCTTGTTTTTATACTTGTTTGGTCTTACCGTTACTCTATTGCATTATTGCTTTCACTTACATAATCATATCTCTTGGTTCCCACTTCAGTTTGGAAGGAAAGTAGGGTATTTTAATGGGTTACTTTTAGCAGTGGCATTTCACCAGGGATTTCTGTCATGTGTCAGAGTTGCTGTTCAACACAGATAATTCTTTTAAACAAAGCTAAGTCTGGAAAATCCTTTAAACATTTGTTCCAGTTATCTTGGAGGCTGTCTATCTCACAAGAGAGCATGCGACAATGTGTCAGAAATCAAATTACCACAGCAGTTCCCAAACTATCACTGTTCTGCTGGTTTAGTACCAGATCCCCCAAACCAAGTAAAATAAACAGCAGTGACAAACTAATCCTGTTAACCAGTCATAGCCAAGAATCTTTTAAATGTCATGCTACCCAAAACAAGTTGCAGATGTTCCACTGTATGACCTGGATGAAAATCTTAAGCCATAAAGCGTGTTCGTGGCACTTGGTAATCTTTTTTCTCCCCATGTTACTTTGCGTAGCTTTTTTATGAGGATGAAGAAAGAGAAGAGATATACCAGATAGGCACCCAGTCGACATTGTTGCAAGCATTGCAACACCAAAGGTGAGATGCTGAGCTGGGAGCTGCATGCCACTCATTGATCAACAAAATGACAAGTGTGCAGTATCAAAGGAGCTGAGTTCACAGACTCCTCAGACAGAGGGCTGCGTTATCTAAGGGGAATCTCTCATATAAAAAGGTCCTGCTGGTAATAAGTACATCATGGCTCTCTTATACATAACAATTACAATAAAATTGTAAACATTTAAAAATATAACTTAATCAATCTCTGTCTTATGGTGGAGCCAGCCCTAGACTGGCAGTTACCTAACTGCATGGCCCCTGTATTGGCAAACTACTTGCATTTTTTTTGTTGCAAATCAGATATTAAAGCTAAAGAAAAGGAAACTTGTGCAATTCTGCCTACTGGATCCTCAGGATTCTACACACCAGGGCACTCATCCTTCTACTGAGGTAGCTTATTAATTGCAGCATTCAGATGAAGCTGTTTCTCTCCTAAGATTACAAAGCAGGTAGCAGAATTGACATAAGAGGCAACAGTAATTTCATAGAATTATAGATTTGAAAGGGATCTCCAGGGTCATCTAGTCCAACCCCTTGCACAATGCAGGAAATTCACAACTACCCCCATTGACCCCTGGCTCTGTGTCCAGAAGATGGCCAAAAAAACCCTCCAGGAATCTGGTCTGGAGAAAATTGCTTCCTGATCCTGAGCGGGTAAGAAAGCGCTACGAGAACTAAGCACTGATGCAACCCTGCCTGCCCTCTCCTCTCATGATCTGCCTAAGTTCACAGAGACAGCATTGCTGTCAGATGGCCATCTAGCCTCTGTTTGAAACCCCCAAAGAAGGAGAGCCCACCACCTCCCGAGGAAGCCTGTTCCACTGAGGAACTGCTCTAACTGTCAGGAAGTTCCTCCTAATGTTTTGCCGAAAACTTTTGATTAATTTCTTCAATTAAAAAAACAAATATTCTACAATCAGTGTCTAACAAGATATCCATACACAAAGAAGAGCCATTATAAAAAGGTGATCTCAAATTTAAACTTTGGATGAGTAATAGAGAAGATAGTCACTGTTGTTGTTTTTGTTTTTGCAGATACTTTGTGAAAGCTGGGACTCCTACTTTTTTTGTTTTGGTAAAATATGCTCCTTTCTCTAAAAACTACTTTTTGGGGAAGAAAGTTCACTGGCTTAAGTGAGCGAATATGAACTTCTTAAAGAAGAACAAGAACAGCACCTGCCGTGACAAGCACCCTTTAGCTTTTTAAACTGGGAACATCTTGTACATGTGTGCTTTACTTTTCTGCCGTCACAGTGACAGTCAACTAGAACGTGTCCTGCCAGTCCCATAGGAAGGAATGTGAAAGACTGAATATTAACAAGGCTGCAGAACTGGAACTGGCATTTATCATATTTATGCATTTCACAATGTAATACTGCTAACCTGCTTTGCAGACCAAGAATCTGGTTCTCTCTCAAGGTACTCAACTGGCCCTATTTCTGTTAATTTAATACTACCATACCTGCAGACCAACCATAGGTGTTGATCGGTTATTCTGTAGCTGTGTGTGTGTGCGTGCGCGTGTGCGTGGCTGCAGCCGACTTATGGTGACCCCAGTTCAGGGCTTTCATGGCAAGTGAGAAGCAGAGGTGGTTTGCCACTGCCTTCCTCTGCAGAGTCTTCCTTGGTGGTCTCCCAACTACAGACCCTGCTTTCCTTCCGAGATCTGACAAGATCATGCTACACCATGCCACCTTCCCTCCCAGCTGTTTGTGCCACTAGTTAAATGTATGCATTTGAGGGAACACCTGCCATACTTTTTCCAGTGCCCTACGGCCATACCAGGCGCTAACAGTTCTGTAAGAGGGAAGTCTGAAGTGTGAGGAGGCCTTTATTTACAGGCTCCCCTGCTGCTGCTGCTGCTGTCCAGCAGTTTCATAACAGATCAGCAAATGGATTGTCTGTGTGCTCCCAGCAGTGGGGATTAAAGCACGGCTGTGGCTGTCTTGCGCTTTTGAGCAAAGGTATGTGGCACTCATTGTTGGGAGCTATGTGGTCTTAGTGACTTTTTGCTGTGATTGAAATTATTAAGTTGGCCTATTGAAAATAAATACAAAGATGAAATGAGACCCAGCATATTTAATACATGCTTTCTGAAAGAAATTCATTTCTTATATTAATTTTCTGGCTTTAGTAACATCTCATTCTAATAACTGACTTTATCTGCAAGTAATAATAATTAGTAAGGCACCTTATAAAGTGATGGGACAGTGGTACTCGTTCTGTGGATCATGGAGAACACTTTTTGTTTGTGAGATGCTTGTTATTTATTTGAAAAGTTCTCCCATCCTGCTCAGTAAGTTTTAATAAATGGATCATTTTTGCTACTTTAAAATTATTTCTTGTATCACAGTGCTGAGATATGCAGCTTTGATGTGGTGTTCCTTGATCTGTCCTGCTGGGAAGGGGCACACTAGAAACTATATCTGAGCTTTGTCCTGTAAACTATGTAGCGGAGGGAGGGGGAGAGATATTTTACTACACCAACTAACTCTGTCCTGAGTAGTCGATCCATAGCAAAGTTAATCCAGCTTGGGCTTCGTTCTGTTAAGACAGATGATTTTTCTACCAGGCCAGATTCCACATACAAACCCTTCAGAGAAACATTAACATTAAAGTATGTTCCTTACACCTAGAACGTTTTCCTCATAAGTGAAATTCTGCAAACATTTTTCATGCCTAGATTAAAATTTGGCAGGGTCAGATAGTTTTAGATGTATAACTAACTGGAGGCCTGTGGTCCAGTTAGGGTCTCACTTGATATCCCCACTGAAGGGTGAGTACTGTCCAAAACAGCGTGATCAGTGTTTTAGATACATTTAAAAGTCATCCAGTGTTAAGAGAATAAAAACGGTGATTTTTTAACATAAAATGTCAGGAAAACAGCTTCACCATCATTATTGCAATTACATTTAGCTTCCATGACATGTAAAGTAAGGCTGTGATCCAGTCCCTGCCATAGTATAAACCAGTTCACCTTCTGGTTAGGAAGCCCGTCCACCTCTTCCAAAGATACACAATACAGTTTTCTCAAAGCATAGCTTGTTAAACACCAGTTAGATGAGCAGCTGGGCTATAATTATTTCAAAACATAACTTTCATGCTGAGTAAGGAAAAGATCTGCTTCAGCATGGCATTTTCATACAATATTATCACTTTGCAAAACCTCTGTCTGTTCTTGACATTTACTTACAAAGGCAAAATAAAAACTGGTCCTTGATCAGTCTTTGTTTTTCTATGTCTCCCTCTTGAACTTTTCTGAACAAGTAGCCTGTTCAGTCTTAGCCATGGACCATGATGTGTAGTGTCCACTAGAAACTAGAATTATAGTAAAAAGACAGCCAGTAGAGGGATTTCCAGAAAATGATTATTCAGAGGTTTCTATGCTATAGAATGCCAAGAATGTGGTGACCTCAGTGTTCTTCAATTCTCGCATACAATTTGGATTAAGTTATTGTAATCCACATTTTCACAGTTCTTATCTGCATACTCCTGCAGAGCCTGAGCTATTGTTTGGGTCAGTGGCCCACGTGATTATAGTGTTGAAAGGTGAGCAGCCATATAGTAGAGACTCAAGCCATTACATGCCATGCAGCACAGATTACAGAGTGAAGAGAAGCCCTGGTAGATTTTCAGTTTGTGAGCCAGCTCCTTGTAGGCAGAATCCAGTTCACGCAGTTGTACGAGCGATTTGTTTAAGAACAAACCAACATCTTCTCCTAGACCATAGCTTTGCTCTATCAGGTGCATTTCCGCCATAATATCTGAAGTCACTTGCCCAAACCATTGCGCATTTAGGGCAGCAACTGAGACACAAACAAAGAAGACTGTAATCTGGAAAGGAAAGGCAGTTAAATTGTGAATTTTTGTCAATTTTTGATGCTCTCAACATCAGCATAGGGGAACTTTCTTCCTTCAGAACTACTTGGCTTCATTGCTAGCCACGTGGGCAGCTGCCCTAGCCCCCTGCATTGTCAAATAGCCACACAACAAGCTGATGCAGTAATTCCCTAACATAGCACCCACTGATACGTTTCCTGATGCCTGCCTGCTTCTTTGTATCTTGGGGATAAAGAAAAGGAGAGAAACCCCCCCAGGCTGACTGACTAGCAAGCTGCCCAGCCCATCAGGGACAGGCAAATACCCTGGGCTTGCCCATAAACAGAGACTTTCTGTCTCTGGGCCTGGCAACCTCTCGCTGTAGCTGCGTGGGGAGTAATCCCCACCACTTTGTTTGGAAACTGAAACCAAGCAGCATCTCTTCACTAAACAAAAGGCAAATCCTGGCTTTCCCCCCCAGCTCCTTGGAGCAGGAGGTGCTTCAGAAGAACCCATGAGGGGTCACCTTTGTGGCTGCAGGAAGTGGCCACCCCAAAACAGCTGACTCCAGAGGAGGAGGACACTTGCCTTGGAACCTCCTAACGTTTTGTGACTGTTTCCTCCCCATGGCAGTCATGTTGCCCCCCTCCCCCAAGGTAGCCCTATCCTTTCTCAAACGTTTAGGGATCCTTGAATGAATGGATGACATTTGTCATTGTAATTTCAGTCAGGATTTACACAGATGATGTTTCAGAGTCAACCGCTCCATGCCATTGCAAAAGAAGCCACCAAATCTTTGCTGTCATCAGTTAGGGCACACGGACCAGCAGAGCAAGAGTAACAGTGTGTTACAGCAGATGAATTAATGTGCTCACGATGTGGTTAGTGAGGGACACTTTAATAGGGAACTTGCTACCTGCATGGTTTCTTCCTCATTGAGCAGCTTGCTGGGGTGACACATAGCAAATATGGTCAGATTGATGAAAGCACAAGCAGAACCAATGTGGAAGTAATATGGGAAGAGGCAACTCTGAATGAAACCGAATGTGTGTTGTGGGAGATTGCTGCCCATCACAAAGCCTGAAAGAGAAACCATAATAAACAGAAATGATTATATCCCCACCCGTAGTCCATGTCAAAAATAGTATCTAACACATTTTTAGAAGGAATCTTGGATATGGAGTAAGCTCTAATTTGTCTAATTTGTTTCTCTAATTTGTCTCTAACTTTATTGCAGAAACTGAGCTTTCTTAGGTTGTTTATTACAAAGTACCCAAAGGATTGCCATACCATACTTCCACCTTCACACATTCTGACCTATCTGCACTCTTTTGCTATCCAGAAATATAGACCCTCCATGCTAACTTCAGCAATCCACAGTCTATTCAGCCCTTCCCACAGTATTGCCACCCTCAGTGTTATGAATTCATTGTATATTCCACAGGCAGTCCCATATCCAAAGCAACCTCATTTTTCCAAACAGTTTGGAAGTCCTGACAATTCATTCTGAGAAACCCCCCCTCGCTGACGCTGGAATCTGTGGGACAGCCTTGCAATAGCTCACCTCATTTCTCCATGGTTGGGGACAGAGGGTGACACTGGGAAGGACAGTGTCCTCAAGATACCCACTGGAATGTGGGGTTCCTCAAGGGGCACTTCTCTCCCCGATGTTGTTTAAAACCTATATGTGCCCCCTCACCCAGCTAGTGCGAAGTTTCGGTCTGGGATTCCATCAATATGCTGATGACACCCAGCTATATCAGCTGATGGGTGACCAGCCAGATACCATTCCTGGAATTTAGCTGAGGGTTTGGAGGCTGTGGTGAGATGGTTAAAACAGAGTCGCGTGAAACTGAATCCAGGAAGGATGGAGGTTCTGTGGCGGGCGGTGGGGGCATGATTGGGTTGCCAGCTCCCAAGTCTTGAGGGTGTGCCTCTGTCACCAGCACAGACCATCAGGAGCCTGGGTGTGACTCTGGATTCTTCCCTATCCATGGAAGCCCAGGTTGCGAAGGTTGCCAACCTGGTGTTTTTCCAACTTCGGCAGGTCAGGCAGCTGGCTCCCTACCTGTCTCGCCCGGACCTAGCCACAGTAATTCATGCAACGGTCACCTCCAAGCTAGACTACTGTAATTCGCTCTACACGGGCTTGCCCTTGCGCCTGATCTGGAAGCTCCAACTGGTCCAAAACGCAGCTGCGCAGGTCCTTATGGGGACCCCTCAAACAGCACATATTCAACGAGTGCTGCGTGAGCTGCATTGGCTTCCAGTGGAGCACCGGATCAGTTCAAGGTTCTGGTTTTGACCTTTGAGGCCCTTAGTGGTCGGGGACCTACATACCTTCGGGGCCGCCTCTCCCAGTGTGCCCCCAGGAAACAAGAACTTACTGGTGGTCCCCGGCCCAAAAGAAGTCTGGCTGTCCTCGACCAGGGCCAGGGCTTTCTCGGCCCTGGCCCCTGCCTGGTGGAACTCTCTGCCAGAAGACATCTGTGCCCTGCGGGAGCTGCTACCTTTCCGCAGGGCATGCAAGGCAGGGATGTTCCACCGGGCCTTTGGTTGAGGACAGCGACGGGGCTTCTTCTGGCACTCTCCTATAATTCCCCATCCCTCATAACCCCTCCCCCCAGGGAGGCTGGGGAGTTAGGATTTCTCTGCCATGTCATACATTGCATATATACTGTTTTTACTTACTGGTATTTATTGGGCTATTTTAGTCTAGTTTTATATTGAGATTGTATATTACTCTGTTGTAAGCCACCATGAGTTCTACTCGTAGGGAAGGGCAGCCTAGTAAATCCAATTTAATAAAGAAAGAAAAAAATCAGTTTTGCCTGTGAGCTTCTGTGTATGAGGCCATGGGGGAAAGGGTAAGAATGGAGTCCAACCTACTAGATATAAAAGTGACCCAGATCTGCATTCCCCAGAAAGTTGACAGGAAAGCCAAATGAAGTGCCTTCACTACAGTTGAGGGTTCGGCATCTGCAGGCATGGTGCTTCACAGCAGGCAGCCACTTGCAGCTCTCAGAACTCTGGCCCAGCCTCACCGTGGGATGCTATTCGGATTGCGCTCTCTTACTCCACCAGTTTATACTGAAAAGGCACAGGAAAGTCATTTTAGCTTTAAATGATATTTGGTGCAGTGGGGGGGGGGGATCCATCCCGTGTTGTAAAAGGAATACCAGTAACATACTTTCTTAGAGATATTAGTGTCCAAGGATCTGCAAATCCCTTCCTGGATGTTTTGAGGAAGTTAAAACAGATCACTAATACTACTCAGCAAAGTTCAGACTCAGGACTCCCAAGAGAAATCCCTTCTGATCTATCTGTGAACACTCATAAACCTTCACTTCTTGGGGGGAGGGGGGAGATAGGAAGATGATTAGGTCAACTCACCATAAAGCCACATTTTTAAAAGAAGTTTAAGACAACATCTAGAACCATTAGCTTCAATAAGACATTAACCACTGATTGTCTGGAATGTAGACTGCATTCTTGGGTACATGTATTTTTGAAACAGTTAATCCACGGGCGTCAAATTACTATGGAGAGAAATTGCTAAGTTACTTCAGGTAGATTTTTACCACTAATGAATGACCTCTCTATCCACCTCTTAAGATGGGGCAAGTTGGCTTGCATCTGTTTGGAGATAAATGGAGCACCTGTTTCCTTGCACAGAAGCCAAACCCAATTAATGTGACAAAAGCCCTACAAAAATATGGCACTGGAAAGCGATGGCCTATTGTAACAGCCTGCATACACAAGACACAAAAATTCACATCCAGCTATCGCATCTGAGTTGTGTATTAATTCCCTCAGAGAAGTGCCTTTCATTTAGGAATTTTGTAATGTATCAAGTAACCCACTAGGGCAAAACATAGCTACTCATGTGGACACAAATGCTTTAGTTAGAAAGAGCTAGAAAGGCAGAGAAACGTTTTTTGGGGGAAATAGTATTTCTCCAAACTTCTAGACGTGCAGTGGTAGCTATGGTTTTTGTAACAAACGATGAAGGGGGCTCACATGCCCAAAAGTTCAGGCCAGCTTATTTATTTACTTCCTTTATTGCCCGCATTGCTCACTGAGACTCAAGATGAATTATAAAATATAAAAAGCATATCTTTTGGATGAGGCGGCAGACATCCAAATCTACCTCGGCCTCCCCCGCTGACAATGCTGACCAAATGGAACCAGTCCAAACTGAGCATCATTGTCAAAGCAAACCTACCCTGACTGGTTGGTTGGGTTTTAACAGAAATATGTGTTTAATTATCTAAATTATATTTGTTATCTTGTGATTGTAACACACCCTGAGCCCGCTTGCAGGGAGGGCAGGATAAAAATTGAACTGAATAAAAATAAAATAAAATAAACAATGCAATGGGATTGTGTGTGTGTAAAGTGCTGTCAACCTGCAGCCAACTTACAGTGACCCCCCCCCCATAGGGTTTTCAAGGCAAAATTGCCTGGAATTTGCCATTGCCTTCCTCTGCATAGTGACCCTGGAATTCCTTGGTGGTCTCCCATCCAAGTACTAACCAGGGCTCTCTGAACATTTCTGTACTGCACCTTTTGCAAAAGGACTTCTGTGGGCCTTCCAGACCACCGCAGGTAGGCCATTCCATAAGACAGGAGTCAACACAGAAAATATGTGTGAATGGGTATTATTGACCTTACCCATCTTCAGGGTGGCACCCTTAGAAGACTTTGTCAGATGAGCAGTGAATCTTTTTCCTCTAAGGGGCCACAAGCTGCCATTTGTTTGTTTTTAGCCAAACTGTCTTGTATAATTAGGATATAAAATTGCTGTAGTGGTGGTGACCCTAACCCCATTTCATTACAACCAGACAAAATGCCACCAAAAGAACATGCAGATGAACAGACGGTTCCCATCTGTTGAGGAGATGTTACCACTGGTCTCAAGTACAGGTTGTTACTTGCCAAATAACTGGTGGAAACCTGAGGCTTTTCATGGACTATATTACTGAACCTGGACAACATTTATCAAGAGGCTTGTAGACGGCTTTTGTTAAACCTAAACAGGACAGCTCTCCATGCAAGGTACAAGGACTTCCTAGACATGAAATGCAAGATTTTGTGACATTTCTATGCAAAACTCTGAAGTGCAAGATAAGCACAGTGCCCATTCACAGTTGTAATGGTGCCTACTTAAGTCCCGGCTAAGCAATTCACCAGATCCATAGAAAATGGTATTTTCTTTTTTTAAGTCTTGATGTTGATGCTCTTTCAGTAAAGTGTGTACAGCTGTTTGTAAATAGCAATATCCTTCCCCCCAGTTATTCATCTCCATTTCCTATCCCCAGGAGCTTCATTGCTGTCCTTAGCGGACTTCCTCACTATAATTTGGCTGCAGTCGGTGGTAGCCAATTCGAAGTGGGCAGCAATAATGCATCTAATTTGAATTTGACATTTATTTATTTACATTATTTACAGTCTGTCTTTCTCATTGGGACTCAAGGCAGATTACACAGAGTAAGTAAATCAATATAATCAACAGGATGGAATGACCAATCAACAATTCAGTAGGATTTGGATTGTAGAAATCTGAAACCAACCAGAAATCTAAACACAGCATTGGAGCTTCTATGAAGAAAGTTCAGAGTGAGAAATGTCAAAAAAAAATCATATAAAAGAATTCACTGTATGCAAGTTTTCTTTGCAGGCCTCCATAATTTATCTGATCACTAATTATAAGTGGAGGGAGGAAACTGTGTCAGTATAAGCATGAAGACTTCACATTAGAGGGATATATAAACTGCTTGGGAGCTATAGTTAACGGTGAGGCTTTTAGCTTCAGCTTTCAGCATAACCATAGAGAACTACCCAGCCAGCCAGCCAGCCAGCTCCCAGTGGAAAGGAGGCAGGAGCATAGCTCTGCATTCCCAAAGCCCGAGCAGGCCCCTGTGCAGCAAACAAGAACTGCAGCTAAGATCACACAAGCCTAGTATTTGAAAAATGTTCAACAATTACAACAGTCAAGGTGTGGTTAGTCACAAACTTTAGAAATGGACACGATACATAGATGATCTAGATTTCTAGTCAATTTGTGAGAAAAAATAACTTGTTTATTTCACAGTGAAATCAGAACATGTATTATGTATATAAGGCTGAAAAGAGAAAAATCTGTGATATCATAGGCTTAAATAAAACCATTTTAATTATATTTCTCATCCAAAAATCAATCCGATTACACTGAAGAACAGTTGTTCAAATACATAACTAATATGCCAGCTTTTTATGATCAATATGTCAAAACATTTGATTCAAAAGCTACTTAAGGATCAATGGGCTACAGTTTCTCTTAATCTGTCGAATTTACTCTTCCTAATGCATACCTAAAAGCCAGAGGCATACTACCAAGCTAGAAAGGATTTCAGCTTGTGGCTGATGTTTTATGAACAGCTCTGTTAGCCTCTGCAAATATTTAAACTTAATAAGGTCCTGTTTGCAAAAGTACTCATCCAAATGGGAGTCAATAGACATCTTGTAATTGGAAAACAGTATCTCAAAGAAAGGTATGAATTGGCTCCACTTAGCACAAAAAAAATATTCCTACTCAAGCGGCAATGAGCCAAATGTCACCACTGTTTCCAGTTGACTACTAGAGAAATAATTCTCAACTTCTTTTCAGGAATGCAACTTTATCATTCATTAGAGGACCATTTATGACAGTCAATGCCACTTAATCTAGAAGTCACCTTTGAAGGATATTGCTGGGAAACTGATAAATCAAATACAAGGCAACGTCCTCTATTTGAGAGTATCAGAAGCTTCTATAACTCTCTGGTTACTTCTCCCCCTCGAGTTTTCATATTTTTCAGCTTCCAGTTTTTGATACTGATATTCTTAGAATGTTATGCTGATTTTACTGTTGTTTTTAAATTATGTTATTCTATATTGCTGTTAGCTTATCTGTATTGGTTTTAAATTATGTTATTCTATATTGCTGTTAGCTGTTATATGGTATTTAATTTGTTTAAATCATGTTGTTCTACATTGTTGTTAGTCATCTTGAGCCACATTTTCTGCAGGGGAGATGGGGTATAAATTTGAAAAATAAATAAATCACCAAAACATTCTAAAAAAGTAAATTCCAATCCAAGCATTGATGAGCAGCAGTTAACGCACAAGGCTGTGTGATAGCATTTGTGGGTTAAAGCTGGGTGAAAGAAAGCAGTTGAGGATTTTTGAAGTCTTGAATCGACTTCAAAGAGGCACAGTAACTTCTATTGTTGTTTTATCCATGGTTCTCTTGTAAGCCGCCCTGAGCCTGCCCCGGCGGGGAGGGAGGGGTAAAAATCAAATAAATAAATAAATAAAATCTCTTTCCAACAAATGGAAGGCACTGCACCTTTTCCACACTGAAGATTATGGTTTGGTTATGTTGTCATTTATATATGCAAACATGTCTGAAATTATCTTTACACACAGGTAGGGAGTAGATTTACATTCACATCTCTTTCTAAAAATGAGGCACATTGGCTGTAAGGTAGATTTGATCAACATGGCTGTTTTGCATTAGCAATTGTCACACACATGTACAAACAGCACAAGAGGCAAAAAGGTGTTTTCAGTAAGACACCAAAAGATTATCTTATCAATCCAGAGTATCTGCTTGATTCTGTATTGGCAGGACAAAAAGATTCACATTAGACTCCTACTCCCTTTGTAAACATGGATTAAAAGGATGTGAAACTGTTACCGTTTCACAGTTGCCCTGCACGAAAGAAGGGAGTCCTAAAGCAAGCCTGTGGTGAATCGCACGTCTCAACAAGGTTCAGGCTGGCAACTGAAAAACTTTTTTCCCCAGCGCCATTTCCCAACGCCCCCAAACCCATAGATTTAGACATCACATTTTTCCAGTTACCCAAGTGTGTTCCCACCCACTCCAAATTCTACGATTCCCACCATCTCAAAAGCCACTTAATATGTTAGCAATTCTATTAGACCAAGTACCAAGCCCAGGAAACC